AGACATAATTATACCTGGTTCAGCTTTAACAAAAGCCAAATTATGTCCCTTAAGTTATAATACGAACAATAAAAAATTATTACGGCACAACTAAACTTGCCGTTTATCCTGCTTTCCTCGAAAGGCTGCTCACTGCACATGAATTTTTATTTCGGTCGTGGCAGTTCAGGATTGATCACTAAGCATAACGGGAAGTACTGCAGTAGGGCACATAGGATCAGTTTGTTGTAGAGAACTTTAGAATAGAAATAAGAATTTCCTAACAGCAAAAGATGTTGGACATTTAAAATTATCAGAGGAGGTTGCAGAGTTTCCTTCATTGCAGAATCAACAATCTAAGTTAAAATGAGGAACCGTTTATCTTGAATAGTTTCGGCATCATACCACTACAGATGGCTTGCTGAGCTCTGTGCTGTAGAGGGCCTGATGCTCGTAGCTTTGGGTAAGGTTAGATGCAGTGCCATTAATGGGGAACAATTACTCCTGATGTGTTTGTTGATATTTTCCTAATATTGTCTAGGAAGTCGGTCATTATCATTGCTCCTATTTTGGTGATTTGCTAGTCAGTGTCTTTTTCTTTGGAAAAATGTCTCCATTTCTGACTTAATGCTCATGTTATTTTTGTCTGTGGACCACACTTACACAAAAAAATACATACACTGCAGAAGGAATCTGTAAACATGTACTTAATTTCTGTTAGTGCTAGGAAGAATTGTGATGCTGCCATTTACTGAGCTTTGGCTTTATAATGACCCTGTGCCGAATTCTTGACTCGGGTTGTCTCACTAACTCACGCCAGTGTGTGCAGAGCTGTGAATTACTATTCTGACGCCAGCATGTGCGAGGCCAAGGCTCAGAGAGCCACGGGGACATGTCCACAGGTAAGAAAGGATGCTTTTGGCATCCAGTCTGGGGCAGACTGACCCAGGCTCAGGGCTCTGAATCACTTAGCTGTTCCATTAGTGGTTCCCAACCGACAATTTACAGATTAGCAATGCTGTGTAATTCACTTCTCATTGTTCAAGTTCTAACACTGTCATGGGGACACTAAAATACCTGAAGAAGACTGGTTAGCAAACTTGGCTGCACCTGGGAGTTTAAAAACAGCAACAGCAGCTGGTAGCTGGTCCCACCCTCGCATGTTCCAGGTTTGTGGGTAAAGCGTGGCCCAGATGCTGGGATTTTTGAAAATCTTCCAGATGATTCTGATGTGCAGAACTCCTGAGAACTCTTGCTTTGGAACAGTGCACATTTTTAAATTGTAAATTCCCATCCTTCTGTTAGAAAAGAAAAAAAGAAAAAGGTTTTACAATAGAAGTATTAGTTATTTTAGAAACTACAGACTCAACAATAAAAAGATTACAATTAAAATTATCTGTAATTCCTTCGCTGGACGATAACCAGCATAGGACTGGGCTGTCTTTTTCTCCTGTGCATATTTATGTATCTAAAGTCTTAACCAGGGCTGGCCAAGTGGCTCGGTTAAGAGCTTGCTCAAGAGTGCGAGCTCTGAGCAACTGCGGTTCAATTCCCAGCCCGAGCTGAGTTGCCGCTGAGCTGCCAACAGGTGGCAGGATGGCTCAGCTAACAAAAAAAAAAAAAAAAAAAAAAAAAGCCAGGAGCTAAAGATTTTAACCATAATGTTACTCCTCTATAGACTTGTATATATTTAATGCCAGATTGCCTTATATGCCATATTGTCTCTCTAAGTTAGTCACATGCTCCACCAGACTGGAAAATTTTTTATTCTTATGCACTTATAATACTGTGTTGATTGACCCTTACAACCCTCACAGTGGTGGTGGTGGTGGTGGGGGGGAACATCTCTGTAATGAAGAGTTTGTGTGTTATCTGAGGTAGCATTTAGGAAAACAGATGGATTAGATGTCTCTGCTTTGTACTCTGGCTTATAGGGCATTTTTTCAGACAAGTGAACCTTGGTTTGCTTCCTCGTCATCTTTCCAGATTATTAACGCAAAGCCCATATGGTCGCACCCCTGGGCTCTGGCATGCAGCACACGCTCTGTCAGTAGTGGGGTGCATGGACAGACAGACAGACAGACAGACAGATGTGTTCTGGGGTCTGAGCTGGGAGTGGTGGTTATAGTTTGAAAAAACTAATTACTGAAGTAAGTTCAGGTGTGCCTGAAATAGAAGTATTTGGAGATGTCGGAGTAGTGGGGAGAGACAGTAAGCATGGGGCTGAGGTAAGGACGGGCTAGGCAACACGTTAGCTGCAGATTCTTCAAGAAATGTACAAAGTCCTCTAGTTCCAGGAACTCCCTGGCCGTGGCCACCAACAGGCTCAGTCTTCCCGGGAATGCCCCCTCCCTGCATCTCCTCTGTCCTTCCATCTCTCCATCCTGCTTGTCAGAGAAGAGAGGCTAAGTCGGATATACTTTCAGAGGAAGAACCAAATAATTTTCGGAGCTTGCTGCTCCGCAGATGTTTTCCTGATAAAGATTTGGATGAGAAACCCATGTGGTGTAATGGGGCTCCATTAGGGTCCAGCCAGAGCCTGTCAGTTAACAGCTGTCATTCCCTTTCCTCCCAAGGTTGGGATTGGGGAAGAATTTAAATGCGAGGTGAGAGGAGGCTCAGAGGGCTGTAGGCCCAGTGAGGGATCACCTTAGGAAAGCCAGTCTGGGGGATGTTACGGGTTTGCTGGGCAGCCTTGCCTTTAGTTCGACCCAGACGACTCTGGGCTGCTTGCAGAGGCATTTTGGGTGATGCAGCTCCAAAGCCAGACATCTCTGCATCGCATGATTTATGAAGGATCTTATTTTTCATACCTACTTTTTAAAATGTAACTTTATAAATCAGTAGGTTTCCTAAATCAAAATTATTTATAATTTTTTTTGGCTCTTTATTTTTTTTTAAATGTGTTTTAATCTTTACTTGCTCATGATTGCCCATTTTAAACCAATTTTCATTAAAAAGAAATTGTAAATATATGTTTTATGTCATCAATGTGTAAGATACATGCATGATTTATTTGCTGAATGAATTTGCTGAAAAGGGATTTGCTGAACTCCTTTAGTACTGAGGCATTATGTTGTTCCAAAAGTGACAAGAAAAATGAGAGTATTTTCCTATCCCTTCTCTCTTTTTATGGAATCCATAATGACTTTTAAAGAATAGAAAGGCGTTAAATATAGTTAAAACCACCAGACATTCTGCTTTACTTAGAATTTAACAAAAAACGAAGTTAAAGAATAAAATAGGAAACCTGATTTAAATATTTATCTGAATAATATTTGTCTCACTATAACATCATAATGAAAGACAGGGAATCCTTATAGTTGTGTCATATAGTATAGCTGAATGAATGAAGGAAAGAAGGAATGAATGAATGAAATGCTAGAGACGATGTTTATTCAGGTAAAATATCAGATGTATTCAATCCAGTGAAACATGGAGATTTCTGAGTGCCGTGCCAGTCGTCAGACCAGGAGTGTATCAGGATTTAATGGCATTTCTCTTTTCCATTTGATGAACTGTCCCAGAAAAACATTTTGAAGCAATAAAGCATCCATTTGGCTCCTAAGTAATGAGGGAGGCACTGCCCTTTGCATTAACTATTTATTCACGAAGAGAAGTGACCAACTGCTAATAAGCTTTATCCAGAGAGGGCAGTGGAAAACAGAAGGAAATGCCAAGGGGCTGGCGCTGTTCCATTCCATGTGCCATGAACAGACACCCACAGCTGAAGGGCTGGCACATCCTCCCTGTCGTTCTGGCCAGCTGGATGCAAGTGGCAGTGGCTGTCAGATGTACTAAAGGTCTCTTGGTTTAAGGCAGGCTTGTGTAGCCTTAAACTAATGACAGATGAGAGGAAGCGATGACTGGTGAGTAGCTAAGACTGGGCTGATCTCTATAGCTTTGAATAATGGACTTATTTTCTAAGAGCAGTAGTGATGGAGGCATGCTAGTTTACTCCTTTGGGGAAGGGTTCTTTTTCATTTTTTAAGATGATGATTGCTTTTTCATGACTTGGGAAATCTCTCTAATGCAATATGTAGGTTATCACTTGATCAAATGGCGTTTCACCTGAGAAAATGTATTTGCTGTATAAATAAATATATAACTTATTATTTGGAAATCATTTCTGGGTGGGGACATAACATTCTTCTCTTCTTCCACAAATAAGCGAACAGTCCCTTCTTTGCAATACATGCTCAGGACTTAACAACTTAAAGATTACAGCTAGAATATTGTATTTGTACACAAATAGGGCTTCTTTCAGGCCATTCCAGTCTTACTTTGAATTACCTTTGCTGCTATAACAGCATGAAGTTTTCATACTTTTGCTTTAAGATTCTTAATATAATTTTGCCTTCTTTAGTGACATGAAAAAAAGATGAAAGTCACAACTGTTTTTTTCCCTTAAAGCCAAGTAAAATGACTTTTATGCTAATTCTTCTTCCCTGCTCTCACTAAAAACTGGTACAGTGGAGTTCTACGCAATGGGAAACAACCCTTCAAGTCAATCATATTAAAGTTGGCAATGGAAATACACAAACTCAACGTTATTTAATGACAATATTCTTGCTAACCATTGTAAACCAGTTAGAAAATCATGTAATAGGGAGTTCCTTTAATTTTCAGTTTAAAAAAAATGTCCATATTGATAGCTTTGTATTAATTCTAAGTTTACTATGAATTATTTTGACGTATACTTAAAATCAATTTTCAAGCTATATTTTATGAAATAAGAATACATCGTTTATTTGGGTTTGCAACCAAATAGGGCTAAAAAGCCTGATAGGCAATGAGATCAAAGACAAGAAAAGATTCCTTAGAGTTTTTCTTTCGCAGCCACATTGCATCATACTTGTAGTCAGAGAAATAAGCTCTTTTACGTTTCAGAGACTCTTATTTTGTTCATCAAGGAAATCAGGACTCAGAGATTAGAAATAGAAAGACCTTGGAAGGTATGAGGGTTTGCAATACTCTCTCGTTGGTTATTACCAGTCATTAGATTACATTATCCCTTTCAGATAATCACTCCCTTCAGAAGACTAATGCTTTGTGCTGACAACAGAAAGGAGATGGAAGATTGGATCAGCTCCCTGAAGTCTGTACAGACCAGAGAACCTTATGAGGCAAAGTAGCATTTCTTCTCTCATCCCGTGTTCTTAGAGAATAAATGTTAACCAAAGAGCTAAAGCTATATTCTGCAAAAACAAGTATGTCTGGATTCATTCAGCCACTTGTTGAAACCTGATATCGCATTTTTTTTTTAAAGTGAAGTGTTTTCGTTTTAAACATTACGGATTTGAAATTTTAATCGTAACCGCATGCATTCCAAATGTCAAGCGTCTTCAGTCGTGTTGTCCTCTTGTTTGGCAAACCTGTGCTAACGTCTCGTTTCTAGGTGGCCCAGTTTAACGTGGAGCATTTCTCAGGGATGCATAACTGGTACGCCTGCTCCCATGCCCGACCCACTTTCTGTAACGTGTGCCGAGAGAGCCTTTCTGGAGTCACCTCCCACGGCCTGTCCTGCGAAGGTACTGTGGCGTCGAACATGTGTGTGTCGCCCCTCAGCACTGACCATACAGGAAACACGCTGCCTGCCATTGGTGCTTCAGAGAAGTGCGCACAGGGCAGTCGCCGCAGGAAAGCATTTCCCCGGGGTGGAAGCAGGCGCTGGGAGCATTTCAGCGGGAACGTCGTGTTTATGTTTTATTGTAGCTTCAGGTGGAGCTCTGCACACCGCGGGTTATCTCTGCTAGTACTTTCGCTCAGGAAAAGAGAATCTAGACTCATTTGAAAGGAAGTATAAATCAAAATGTAGCCTTTCACTCCTGAAGAACTAGTAACTAGGGAATAAAAGTATTCTTTAGACTTTGTATATCATTCTGTTTTTCTAGTATTCTTTTTCTGTTCTGATTGATTGCGGAGAACAGAACTTTGTGCCAGAGCAGTGTATACTCTTCGGCAGAATTTCCGATTATTACGTACATTGCATTGTTTGAAATGTTTTGTTTGATTTCATTTCTGTTTAAACTAATGACATTCTTTTTCATTTCTTTAAAGTTTTCTAAAAATAAGGTCTATGCTGTAGTTTTCGTTACAGGATTTGTGGGTTATTTTTAAATTTAAGAGCAGTGACCACATAAAGGAAATACACTAATAATTGCCAACAGAAAACTCATGACTTCTTTAGATTTACTTAATTTCATGCCTCAGTGGCCATATCATTCTGTATTACTTTTTGGACCACATATAACACTATTACTAGCTTTTTTTCTCTACTACAGAAAATTCTTAAGTAATTTCGAATAGAATTTTTTTAGAGTTAAATAAAATAGAAATAGAGTCACAGTTTTAATTCCCTTTAGATGATGAGACCTGAGATATGTCATTATTTCATCTATTTAATAAGATAAAAAAGTGGTAAGAATAGAGCTCTGCACTTAAACCCTCTGAGTTCCCACCCCACTTCCAGCATCACCAGCTGTGACCAGCGTAAGGAGTTTAACTCTTTCAGACTTTCATTTCCTCATCTGTGAAATGGGCATAATAGTCGTTTACAGCTCACAGAACATTATGGAAATTAACGAGAGGATGCATATATTGTAATAAAACGACTTTTCTAGCCAAGTTTGTAGAAATTTTAACTGCGCTCGCTAAGAAATTTATCAAGTAAATGATTACAGATTGCATCATGGCCTAATGCATTCAAATTCATGGAAATGAACATTTGCAGGAGGCATTAAACATTTTTTAGATTTAAAGAATGATTGCAGACAAAGATATAATTGGCCTTTATGACTTGAATAATCTGAAAGGATCCCTGTAGTGCTGAGTAACCCCTGCCAGGTCTGTAACATTATGTGGTGTTATTTTTTATCTTAACCCCTGTTGAAAAGTTGAAGATTCAATGTGGTAAAGACTGAATGAATAGCAGTCAGAAATAGCAATAAGAAACATAATTTTAAAATAATGACTTTACAGGTCAGGGAAAACTGCTTTATTTCAAAATAACTTGTTTGGAGAAATTTGTTACCTAACAGAATTAAGGTACCTATTAATCATTTCTATTTCTTTTTTCAATTTTATTTATTTATTTTTAAGATTTTTATTGGGGAATTGGGGGATGGGAACAGTGCTGGGGAATTGGGGGAAGGGGAACAGACAAGTTGCTGTCGTTTTGTTCTTCAGTCTAGTTGTGGAGGACGTTGCTTCACTGGTCCAAGTTGGCACCATCATTGCACTCTTCCAGGGTGAGGCAGATCAGTCGCCGGCTTCTGGACGGCCGCTCATGGCGGCTGCTGGCTACACACGGTAGCCCATGGCAACCCACTGCAGCAGGGGGCTGCAGCCTGTGCTGTTGCTGGCGTCTCACGGCAGCCCAGCTCCAGGTTGAGCTGTTGTTCAGCATCTTAGCTGTAGAGGGCAGTGTCACTGGCCCTCATATGTGGGATCCGAACTGGGGCCCTCTGGCGTCCCAAGCCAGCACTTAACCAACGCACCGCTCGGCAGGCCCATAATCATTTCTATGTCTTAGTGACTATAATTACAGTCCGGTTTGTTATTAGTAGTAGTAGTAGTAGTAGTAGTAGTAGTAGTAGTAGTAGTTACATTAAGCAACTTTGCAATTCTCAAGACTTCTTTCATAAAATACTTTATTATTTCAAATTTGTGATTTTTGTTTTTAATGAACTGTTGGATTTTTAATGGCAAATCTTTCAAAAGGCCATGAAATTACACCCTGTTGCTCTTTTACTTCCTTCGTTGCCTCTTAGAAAACAGTTATTAACCATTACTATTAAGTACTTATTTGTACTTAAAAAGCAGCCTGGGGATAGTGTAGTTCATAAACCTAAAGCTAGGACCACACTTTTGAGCAACAGATGGAAAGTCTTGGAGACACTAACCAACCACAGTTTTAAAACAGTTCACTTGTATTGGAGCCAAAGGGAGCAGGCTGCTAAAATTGTTTTTCAAACTAAGCTTACTTCCTATAGTGTTCTTTCTTTACACTATTGTTTATCAGCAATAAAATTCAATTGAAAAATTGTTGTATTCCTTATAAAGTCTCTGCTCAAGTCACAAAGTCATTTATCACAAAAACCGCCTGACTTTCAGGAAAGAATGTGCCAGTGTACACACAGGAGCAGGCAACTGAACCATCCCCAGTGTCTATAGACTAACCTTTTTCAAGGAAGAACCAGCTTGGTTTCAGTGACCATTTATCCATTGGCTATTCGTGATACCTGAAGCGTTTCGAATGTTAGGCTATAGAAATCTTAGTTATTCTACCTGACCCCTTTGTTTTCATGTTACATCAAATTAGGTTTGTTTAAAAAGAATGGGGTGTAACCCATCATTTCAAGTTTATTAATGGATTTGTGTTAGAAATTCAAACATCATGTGAAAATGAACTATTTTACATTTAGAATTTAATAAGCAACAGTTACCTTATTATATTTCCACTGAAGTAACGTCTACTTTTAAATATTTATCTGAAAAGTTAGAAACTTGTGTAACATGAATATCCACTAACATGGATAATTTGTGTCCTTAGAAGGAAAGGAAGCTTAGTAGTCAAGTTTTTCATTAAGCAAGGGTTAATTTTTCACATAATCTGTGGTTTACTTGTTTTTCATATATNATTTACTGTCTTTAGCAACTTTCAAATATACACTACAGTATTATTAACTATAGTCACCATGCTGTACATTAGATCCCCATGACTTACTGATTTTTATAACTGGAAGTTTGTATCTTTTGACCCCCTTCACCCATATTGCTCACCCACTCACCCCCGTCACCTCCTTGGGCAACCACTAGTCTATTCTCTGTATCTATGAGCTTGGTTTTTCGGGGTTTTTTTTTAAATTGTTATTTTATTCCACGTATAAGTGAGATCATACAGTATTTATCTTTCTCTGTCTGACTTCTTTCACTTAACGTATTGCCCTCAATGTCCATTCGTGTTGTCTCAAATGACAAGATTTCATTCTTTTTTTATGACTGAATAATAGTCCACTGTATACATGTGCCACATTTTCTTTATTTATTCATCCATTGATGAACACTTAGGTTGTTTCCATGCCTTGGCATTGTAAATAATGTTGCAATCAATATGGAGGTGCAGACATCTTTTCCAAGTAGTGTTTTCATTTTCTTCAGATAAATACCCAGAAGTAGGATTGCTCTAGCACATGGTAATTCTATTTTTAATTTTTTGAGGAACTTCCATACTGTTTTCATAACGGCTGCACCAATTTGCATTCCCACCAACAGCGCACAAGGGTTCCATTTTCGCCACATCTTCATTAATACTTGTAATTTTTTGTCTTTTTGCTAATACCCATTCTAACAGGTGTGAAGTGGTATCTCATTGTGGTTTTAATTTGCATTTTCCTGATGTTTAGTGATG